TCACATTAAATGCTTGACATGCGTCATCATTTCTCCATCCCCGGTACTATTTATAACACATCGCACAACGCCGGCTTCGTACACTACCTATCACATCTCATTAATGCCAAATGACCGTGCCTATTCCGTGATCACTCCACGGCCGACACTTGTAAAGTCAGCGCCGACTCAGCCGCCAGCTCAGACCTGAAAAAGACTAAAATGCCCCTCCTACATGGTTATAAGAGGGAAAACTATTCCCAATGTGAAGGTAAGCAATTTCTTAGAATTTTTTTCTTCACTGCACTTGAGAACTCGCACAATTCGCCACTTTCCCACTCAAGTACATCATTTTCTTGATCGTCAGAGGAACAACGGGGTGTAGGCATCAAAAATTACCTATAGGTTTTCGCACACAACTCAAAATAAAGAGAAGGTGATGAACGCTATTATCCGAGTCAAAATAGGATTATCCGATACCGTAGAGAAGCAAAGTGAGTCGGCAAAGCATACAAGTCAAAGAAATGTCGAAACATCGAAACGTGTGCAAAACGACCGAACAAGACCAAAATCGAGAAATCGGTAAGACCTAGCCACTTCAACGTGACCCACACTCATGCTAGCCACTTCGACGTGACCTACACTCATGCTAGTCACCTCGATGTGACTCTCACTCATGCTAGCCACCTCGATGTGACTCTCACTCATGCTAGCCACTTCGAGACGAAGCAATGATGATGAACGTCATCACCTGAGTCAAACAAGATTATTCAGTACCATAAAAGATCTAATGAGTGCATGAATCAAGTCAACAAAGCATACGGGTCAATGAAACGATGAAATACATAAAACGACAGAACAAGACCAAACCAAAAAATCCGGAGAAGCCCCTGGCAGCCGAGTCGCATCAAAACAACTCGGCCAAGGCCGAGCCACCCTAGGGTGGCTCGCGTCCAGAAACGCTCAAAATATGTTTTCGATGATATTCTAGGGATTCTTTCATTCCAGAACCTCCCCAACTGCTTTGATATCATCCCTAAATGTGATTAAGTGGTTATTAACCGAAGATAAGGCCAAATCACTTCTTCCTATCTAAAAACACTGCATCCAAAGCCTATAAATATAAGCCTAAGGCAATTTACACGGGAGAATGGAAAATTAGAGGCGAGGTGCTGTCAAATTGGAGAGGGAACCACAAATTTCAGAGGAGGACTAGCAGATCTTGGTGAACTCCAGCATAAAGAGGGAGCTATTCGAAGGATCTGAGGCCTGTTTCATCATTCCTTAAGATCAAACTTTGTTTTGATCTTGAGAAGAGTAGTAATCTCACTTTGTTGAGATTATTTACTTCTGTGATTGTTTCCTTTATGAAGCAAGAGTATTGATCTTTTATTCAGATCGACCAGATCTGATCCGCGGTGGTCCACGGACTAACGTGTTTCCGGCACAGGCAAAGATCCCACGCAAGCAGCGGGTGATAAACGTCCTCTGTGTGTGTTTCTAGGAAGTTATAATTTTCTTCATTTTATTTGTGTAAGAGAAATCTTATAAAAAGACTCACTCTTTTGAACTTGTTATAAGTTGATAAACGATTATAACGAGTTCCCAAATAAAATCAATTTTCGATGCAAACACGGGGGAAATAGTCCCTGTCCTCTTACGAGTTGCTATTTGTGCAGGGAAGAGCAGTGCAAGTCAAAACCATATATTTGGAAAAGTTAGCGGCCCCTAATCAACCTCACCCCCATTACATTATATGTGTGATTATTACCATTAACATATATCTTCTCCACTCAAGCTCAAAATATTGATTTGACCATCGGAGGAACCATCAGATAATCCAACTCTAGTCCTCTAACGAGTGTTATTATTCAACTCTTTTATGCAGACAAGGTACCAGACTTCAAGAGAGATGAGGGAACCTACATAACAAGCTCCTTCGCTTAACTCGGGATTACCCGCTAATCTCATCCATGTTTGATAGCTAACATCAACAGAGAGATAAACCAAACACAGTTTTGAGAAAACTCTAAAAACCAATTAATTACAAAATTACCACTATCAGAGGGTTTCTGTAAAAGTTTCTATAAAATTAGTGAACGAAACATCCTCTATATTAAGGCCCTATTTGGTTGGTCCAAAAACTGCAGAAAAAAGCCCATTAGAATACTGACACAGTAATATTTTACTGTTCCCCCCACAATTAGCTGTTTGGCTTGTCAAAAATAAAGAGGAAAGAGGGAGAAGATTTAGGCGCAAACTAGGATTTTCTGGCTAAAACTTTTCCGCCCTTGTAAGCCCAATTATGGAGAAAAAACACTCACTTTTCTCTCCACCTACTTTCCACTTCCCCCTCTTTCCATATTCCTCCTTCCCCATCCCTCCTGCCTTGCAAAGACAACTGGAAAGCTAGTAATCTTGTCGGGTATTGGTGGCGGCAACTGACGAAGACCGATCCACTCGTTGCTTTCAGGTCAGAAACTTCTTTTAATTTGTTATTTTATAGTTTTTTTTATGTTACTAGATCTTTGATAATTTGTTCATTTTAGGGGGTTTTAGTGTTGGCTTTTCAATTGGTGGGTTTCATGTATCCATCTATGTTATGATTTACTATCGGTGTTTATGTTTGATTAATTTGTCTGTGATATTGAGGTCTGATTGGCACTTTGTAATATGTGAGATGGCAGACTCTGTTTAGAAACTTGCTTAACAGCAAATAACAGTTGGTAGTTTGTGATATTTTGTTTCTAGGATATCCATAGGACTACGTATTTTGTTTTTGCACAATCCACGAGACTAGTAGTCCTGTTTACTATGCTGCACCTTTTCGTGCACATCAATGGGGCTGATAGTCCCATGGATTTTGTTTTTGCATAATTCATGAGAGTAGCAGTCCCGTGAACTCTCAATTATGATATTTTTTTTTTGGCTTCATTCCAAACATTGGTATGCTAATTTGATAAATAGTTTTCATAAAAGTCCTGCAAATCTCTAAGATATTCATATTACTTAATCAATTAATAAATACTTGCCATTATTCCCTCAAATACTTTAAAATTTTGAAAATTACTTCATCAAACTTAAAATTAATCTCTCAAATCTTTAGAGGTATGGAATTACTGTCTTAAATGGTCATAATTAGTTGAAAGTAGTCCTTAATGTCTCTAAACATTTTCCAAATAACTACCTCAAATTTAAAACTAGTCCCTCAAATTTTTAGTCAATTTGAATTTCCTCCCTCAAATGTTTATATTTTGAATTTAGTCTCTCAAATGGGTTCATAAAAACTTAAATTAGTCTCTCGAAATATTTAAAGATTACAAATTACTCCCTTAAATGTTCATAATTAGTTGAAATTGGTAGCTCAAATCTTTATAAATTTTACAAATTACTACCTTATATTTAAATTTAGTCCGTCGATTCGTTAACCATTTTAAAATTCCTCCCTCAAGTTTTTATATTTTGGAATTAGTCTCTCAAATGGTTAGTATCCTCACCCCACTTATGTTTGACAATAATTTTGTCTTATTCAGGTCATAAACACCACAGTCATAGTTTTTTAGTTTGAACCAAATACTAGAAAATAAGGAAATCAATTCACACATCAACTACTTTCTTGTCGTTTTAATTGAACCAAATTAAAGAAAGTGATGGAAAGTAATTATGCCCCATGTCTTTTGACGAAACAAACATGAAAAATACTATTCCAAGAACATCAAGAAAACACCAATAAGTAAAAGAAAGTACGTAGTATCTACTCCTCTATAGAAATGGGAGAACACAAGATTCACTATTCATACCACATGAAATGCTACAATAGCATTTATTGTAGCAAACAGGGGACGAGACACTGTAGTTTTTTTTAAAAATATTACTGTAGCACACGAGAATGTTGTACCGTTTTTAAAAACACTGCAACAGAGGCGGAATACTATAACAATCAAAAAATCAAAAAATTACTATAGTATTTAAACATGAACTACTGTAGCAGGGAAAAAAAATGATATCTCGTGCTTTGTATATTCTCACTAGTTTGGAAAATGAAGCAAAGCAACCAAACAACCCCTAAAAAGATTTTATATAGCGGGCCCTTGCATGATTTTTTCCCCCCTAACAGGGCCCTATGCTCTCCTGGATTCTAAGTCAAATTATTTGAGCGCCGGTTGGTCGAAGATAGACCGGAGAAATTTCGGTAAAAGGGTCGATATCGGGTCCCACACCGCTGCTTTCAGCTGGCCACGTTCGGCCGGTGGTGATGACTCAGCGTTTCACTGCTGTTGCCCCGGTCGCGCCAGCACCTAGTACTCCGGGTGACGTGGCGTAGGCAAACTAGGCTGCTCGTTGGGCCCCGCACTTGTATCGTACCCGGGACCCACTAGACTCCTCGGCTGACAGCGAATTGTGGCTGTGCTTTGGACGCTATACGAAGGAAAGGGGGTAAAAAAAAATAAAAAAAAGCGGCGTTCGCATTGCAATCCCACCAAACCGTTATACCTTTCCAACTGGGGACTATTAGATCAGCTGCGTACACCGAACACCATCTATCATTACAACGGATAAATGGTAGCCACGTCAACTCCCTTGTTTTATTTGCAGTTTGCAGCAGTCTGAGACAGCCGCGACCAACACCATCCAAAAATTTACGCTCGTATTACAAAACAGACAACAGCCTTACCATCCACTCTTAAAACCACACGACTCCAAACAGCGGTCTCGATTACACGTGGAGGAAAGCTAGAGGCTTCCAGCTCACTACGTCTCCGCCAAAGCGGGGTTCTCCATGCTGGCCCCCACTCCTCTCTCGTCCACCCTTTTCGGCATCACTGGGGCCGGTGGCCGACCCCGACCTCCTTCTCCCACCCTTTCTGAAAATTCCAAAAAAGCTCCATATTTTCACTCCCTTTTACAATTTTCGCCCGCAGTCAGTATTCAGTAGAATTTTTATTTACACAAAGAGGATATTCCTTTTATTTTATCTATCTATCTATTTATTTATTTATTTATTTGTTACAGTCAATCCTCAGTAGTTGCCGCTGCCCTCCGTAGTGATAAGCACGCTAGACCCTCATCATTCGCCTTCTGCCTCTCTCCTTTTTCTTTTAATTAATTAATTATTTAATTCTGTTTTTTTTCCCTTGATATCTTGTTGTCAAAAGATTTCAAAGCTCGCTTTCTCCTTTCACTCAGATCAATTCCTAGGGTTTCCCCCTCCCCCCTGCGACCTCTTCTACCAGCGCCGCTCGAATTTGAACGCGAATAATTAAGGTAAAACGAATTCTGCTCGCGAGTTTTTTAATTGAGCGCAGAAAAATGTGGTTGCTGTATTTATTTAATTAGGGAAAGGGACGGGGGGTTCGCTGTAGGGTTTTTATTGCAACGCGGGATGAGTCTGAGCTGTCAGCTTACGGATCCGATCTGGTCTTCTCTTGTTTCTGTGATTTCTCGATTGAATTCGGATGATGAAGAAGCCGATGCCGGTCATTAAGGTAGGGATGCTTGGTACTTGTTTGATTTGAACGAAGTTGTGTGAACTTGTGATAAATTTTGATTTTTTTTTTAAAAGAAGTAATTCACGTGTTAGATTGTATAAAGATTGCTTGTTAGAGGAATAAAATTTGATGGATTAGTCGAATTTGAAATTCGATACAGAGGAAGATCTGCTGAGTTTACGAGTTCTCTGTAGTTGGATCTCTTTTGACCGGGGGGAAAAATCTTGATTTCTGCTGGTGTCAGTGCCTTTTTGGTTCTTTTTGTCAAAAACTATCATAGTTTCTTTTCATTTAGGGTATTGATATTATGCTATTGACGGTTACTGATAGTCGTTTTCGTCATTCTTACAAGTTTCTAATTGTCTTCAACTGTTTGTCATTTGTAAGCTCTCCTTTGGAATTCTCTATGCTGGCAGAGTATCATTTTGCTTATATTTACTTCCAAACCCTTTGCTGTGGACAGTCCACAGAGGTTCTGCATTCTGTTCCTATCGGTCTTGATGCTGGAAGTGAAATGTTTTGTCATGTGGTATGCAACATTTGACACCAAGAATTTTAAAATTCTTGCTTCGTGCTTAAAGCAGCGTGTTGTATAAGCATGTGGGTTTGCGCGATTGCTGCTGCCTCCCAGCACTTTGAGTGTTTCTCTGGCTAAACCACTTGGCTGATTTCTTGGGAGGACTTTTTGGGTGATGAATGTGATGTTACTTTTTTTTCTCCTTGGATGATAACCGAAGGTGATGTTACTTGGTTTCACAATTTTGCTGCTTGGGAAGGTTTTACTCATTATATCCTGTGGCTGAAAGAACAGAAGAAGCCAATGATTTGGGTGTTTTGTTTTCCTTCAATTTCTGATGAATTGAAATTCACCTTTGTAATTAATCGGCATATTTACGGTCGTGATAGGTCCTCATTTGCTTCATTCCCTTCACCAAGTTATGCGTCATTCTTTCCAGGAATGTCAACCGCTTGGTTTCGTGTTTCTCAGAGTCAAAATTTGAATTCTTTTCTTAGGTCGCTAGGAATTAGGATGTGTATGTTGCCTTTGAAAATTTTCTACTACTCTTCCTGCATGAGTCATTTGTTTTTTTTTTCCTATTAGAAATTTGAATTCTTATAGCTTACTCGGTGAAATTGCCAGTATGAATGTTTATGCTTGCTTCAGACTGACTATATATCTATTCATGCAGAAGCCATCTGCTTCCTTCTTCGAGCCAAAATCAGCAAACACTGCTTTTATAAAGCCAAAGGATAACATGGCAGTTTCCATGAGGGATGTCGATTCTGCTTTCCAAGGGGCTGGACAAAAGGCGTATCCTTATATTTTGTTCTTACGTTTAAGTTTGATTGTTTTCAGTTTTACTACTAGATTTTATTTCTTGGACTTATGCAATCATGTGTCGCTGTACAAACTTCTACTTCAGACACGATTGAGATGTTATTTTTTAGCTATTCCAGAAAATGTGGAGAAGAAACGAGAATAAGCTTTGACTTTACACATGTTCTGGGATGTTATTTGGTAATTACTTGAAGAAAATCTATGGAAGTGATTAGAGGCTGTGTGATACGAAATTTAGAACTCTGAACGAAACCTGTTAGAAATCAGATGATGAATGGAGAAAACAATCCTTGTAGCCACCTTCGGAAGAGAAAACCCTGAAAGTAAGAAGAGGAATACCTTTTTTTTCCCTTCTTTTTTTAAGGGTCACATTGCATACTTGGAAGATGCCTGAAATTTGGTTAAGAATATGTAGAGGCTTGTAGAGCCAAGCTCAAGTGCGTGGATGCTCATGGTTACTCTGAGCTAAAAATTATGAAATATTTATGTATTCTTTTCTTAATAAGTGCAAGAGCTTGTTTTTTCTTTGTGGTATTTCAGTCTTGCTATGTTTCTTTGAGCTATTGTATACCTGGGTATATGTATAGTTCCTTGACAGCACACAGTGGAATGGAGATATGGCGAATTGAAAATTTTCAACCTGTTCCTGTTCCGAAGTCCTCATATGGGAAGTTTTTCACTGGAGATTCATATGTCATTCTGAAGGTATGTTTGTGTTAGGCGTTAAGTTACATTAGATTGTCTTTATTTTTTATTAATTAAGTGAGCCACTTACTATTATGAGTGCCCTCAAGTTTGAGTACTGGTATTTGTAAAAGTAATTGTAAATGACTGCCGTTTTGTACCTGAAACATTGTATGGTCTTTGATCCTGTCACTCGTTGGACTACATGTTAGATGTAGTGTGATCTCTTCTGGTCGGTTACTAGAGATGAAGATATAAGCTTATGGATGCTATTTTTTTAATCAAGATCTTTGTAATTTAAACTTGCAGTAATTTTTAAGAGGAGCTTCCAAGTTCTTCTGTGGTCAGTTATCTATAAAATTTATGTTATGATATTGCTCAAAAGCCATTGTTTTATTGTATTCAGAGTGCGCATGAGCTTTCTTGGTATAGACTTGTAATCATGGCTCTCAAGTAACCTGCCTCAACGATTACGATTCAATGTCTGACCATCGTTGTGCTAGTATATTTCCAGCATGAAATATGTTTCTAGCTTGAAATATCTCTCTTCTTAACTATGGTAGCTGACTCCTTATATTTGCCTTTGCTCATTTACAACATTCTTTTCGTACTATCGTACTTTTGTAGTATCCTTTTTTTTTGTAATTATATTGGATTGGCCAGCTCTTTGTTCCTGTGGTCTTTGGGATTTTTTTTTTGTAATACAAGTTGCATATTTCATGCTTTTTGTAGATTAATATTGCTTGCTCAAGATTTTTAGCTTTTGTTATTGTACAGACAACTGCTTTGAAAAATGGTGCTTTTCATCACGATATCCACTATTGGCTTGGTAAAGATACTAGTCAGGTTAGCTGCTAATCCTTCTATTACATATATATTTATGTTGATACTTCTCCTTCCCTAGCAGTCACATGTTATGGTCATGTCACAATTTTCGTTTTTTCAATATAATTAGGATGAAGCGGGTACTGCTGCCATCAAGACTATTGAACTGGATGCAGCCCTTGGAGGTCGAGCTGTTCAATATCGTGAGGTGCAAGGTCATGAGACCGAGAAATTCCTCTCATATTTCAAGCCATGTATTCTACCACAACGGGGTGGAGTCTCATCTGGGTTCAAACATACGGAAATAAATGAACATGAGCATGAGACTCGTTTATATGTTTGCAAAGGGAAGCACGTTGTCCATGTAAAAGAGGCAAGTTAGATATGTAGTCAAACTTCACACAAATTTACTTCTTTGAGATGCTGGCTGAATGTCTTGAACGAATTGTTTGTAATGACCAGGTTCCTTTTGCTCGATCATCTCTCAATCACGACGACATATTTATTCTAGACACCAAGTCCAAGATTTTTCAATTCAATGGTTCCAACTCATCGATTCAGGAGAGGGCTAAAGCGCTTGAAGTAGTCCAATACATCAAGGATACTTATCATGAAGGAAAGTGTGAAGTGGCAGTTGTTGGTAAGTGAATTTATTCAGAGGCCTGTTGAGTTTGAGGCAGGCAGACTGTCTTGTGTTGATTGCTTTACATGTTTTAACAGAGGATGGGAAGTTGATGGCTGATGCGGAGGCTGGAGAATTTTGGGGCTTGTTTGGTGGCTTTGCTCCTCTTCCAAGAAAGTCAGCGTCTGAGAATGATAGAAGGGTGGACACCTTTTCTGTAAATCTTCTCTGGTAGTCTGTCAATCAGAAACCCCTCAACATTGCATCACACTTTAGAATTTTCATCTCAAATGTTCTTTTTCTAAAAACTTTTATCTGACCAATTGTATTTTGGGTATTTTCTAACATAAACTTTTTTCCTTCTAGTGTTGAGAAAGGACAGCCAGCCCCAGTTGCTGCTGATCCATTGACAAGAGAATTGTTAAATACAAACAAGTGTTACCTGCTGGATTGCGGGGTTGAAGTTTTTGTTTGGATGGGCAGAAATACATCTCTTCAAGAGAGAAAAACCGCAAGCACTGCTGCAGAAGTATTATCCATCCTTCTCTTTTCAATGTTTTCTAGGTTTCTTTGATTCAATTTCCAAATACATTTTATTTCTCTGTGCAGGAATTGCTTCATAGTCCCGGCCGGCCACCAGCTCATATAATTCGTGTTATAGAGGGATTTGAGACTGTGGTTTTCCGTTCAAAATTTGCTTCATGGCCTCAAACAACTGATATTTCCATATCTGAGGATGGCAGAGGCAAAGTTGCTGGTAACACAGCTTGCTAACCTTATCTTCTTGCTGTATTGACCCTTTTTTTCAATTTCTGTTCATAAGTTACTTGAAAGTTGTTTAAATTATTTATATCCTTCTCTTATGTAGCCCTCCTAAAACGACAAGGTTTAAATGTGAAGGGACTTATGAAAGCTGCTCCTGTAAAGGAGGAACCTCAACCGTTCATTGACTGCACAGGCAATCTGCAGGTACTGTTGATGATCTTATAGTTCAATGTTTGACTATCACATTCTCAAAGCTATTAGCCCGTCATTCAGCAGTTACTGATAAATCTTCATGAGTAGCCAAGTTGATGTAGATCTTGAATATTTCATCCAAGGAAGGAACTGCTTGCTTGCTTTAATTTTGATGCTCCGGCTAAAAGTAATTTCTGCCTAACATATAGGTTTGGCGTGTAAATGGCAATGAGAAGACTCTTCTTTCATCCTCTGACCAGTCGAAGTTCTACAGCGGAGACTGCTATATCTTTCAATACTCATATCCTGGAGAAGAACAAGAGGAATATCTTGTTGGGACTTGGTTTGGGAAGAAGAGTGTTGAGGTAAAGCAAACAACTTATACATACTCATGCAAGTAAGGTCTAGAAAAACTTCCGTGAATGCAATGGCATGTGGTTCTAATGGTTCTGCTGCTTCTATTTGCAAATGTATATTATAACAAACCATATTAGTATTTACATTGACTAATATTGTTATGAATCAATGACATTAAATGGGTAACAAGGAAGATTGATGTAGACATTATTCTGAAGCATCTTTAAATACAGGAGGAGAGGACTGCAGCTATCTCACTTGCTAGCAAGATGGTTGAATCTTTGAAGTCACTGGCTGTTCAGGTACACTGATTGATTTTTAAAAAAATATTATTGGCAACTTTCTCAAGATATGATCTAATGGTTTCTTGGTTCACTCTTTCAGGCTCGCCTTTATGAAGGAAAGGAACCAATTCAATTTTTTTCGATCTTCCAGAGCTTTATTGTATTCAAGGTTATTTTTCTAAAATGTATTATAAATGCCCAAGGGGTGGTCCTTCTGGTTTATATGGTGTTTTATAGTCCCTTCAACTGAAAACTTGCTGAAAGTGTTTTATTTATCTGGAATGACAGGGTGGTGTGAGCTCTGGATACAAGAAGTTTATTGAAGACAATGCCATTGAAGACGATACCTATACAGAAGATGGCGTTGCTCTTTTCCGAGTTCAAGGTTCTGGACCATATAATATGCAAGCAATTCAAGTTGAACCGGTACTGTTGTCTGTTTACTTTTCCTTGTTCTCCATAGAACCGGAACTAAATTCGAACCCACACTGCATTAAGTCCAAATCCAAAATCATTTTGTCTTTATATAAACACGCTGCTTATTTTCCTTCTATACGTTGACCAGGTGGCGTCGTGTTTGAGTTCTTCTAATTGTTATATACTTCATAGTGGCAACACTGTTTTTACATGGTCTGGGAGTCTCACAAACACGGATGACCAGGAGCTCGTAGAAAGACAGCTTGATCTGATAAAGGTATCTCTATCTGGCTTAGAAATAACAGTATCAGTTATTAAAGGTTCCTAATTATCATTTAACGGATAGTCTCAAGATTAGGTAATTCCGTTATTTTCTATTAGTTCTTCAAAAGATTTCTAATTTCATGTGTCTCATTCGAGAATGGAAAAACACTACTCTATTTTACTAAAAATAGATTATATTGTTTGTTAATTCTGTAAACTATTAAAGCTTAAATGGTGAAAATGAAGTTTTAATATTGTTTCTTAATTCAGCTTACATGGTGATTTCATTTCAAACATCGAGAGAGACTTATATCATGGCTAAGGGAAAGCCTACATATTGCAGGGTTTAAATATAATGTTGATTAACTTGGAAAGTACTCAATAGTTACATAAAATTGAAAGAGCTTATTTACTTACAATAAGAGGGCCTAAAATCATCGTATAAACGATGCCACATCCATGCTTCTGTTTACTAAATGATTTAATTCCTATCAAAATAAATTGTAACTTAGCATATATATTATAAAAATCTAAAGATAAGTATATTAGATTAATGCATAGTTGTTATGATAAGGATATAGATATCGACTAATGTTTTTTGGAGGGCAGACACGCAGTAAGTGTTTTGAGGGTAAAATAAGCAAAATGCTACTAAGGGGGTGTATATGGAAACAATCCTCTCTTATACTTAGTTCAAAGGTCAGCCGAGGATATTGAAAGTGTGAGTCATACTTTTATGTTTCAAAATTTCCTCCTAGAGTCTTTTGTTGAGGTCAATTTTCTGGCATTTGTAATTTTCAATTGAGGAGTTACATTCTAAAATCCATGTTAAAAGCTTAATCTGGCACTTAAATTTCATGTAGCATAGTCTTACAGCTACATAGATAAATTTATAGCCATCTTTATCCAAGGATGGAAAAGAAACTTTTATGGATTGCTTCTTGTAGTTTTTTTTGCAAGATGTTTTGAAGACCTAAGCGTTATCCAAATTATAGAAGGAAATGATTTTGTTTTCCTTCCAGACAGCAAGAAAATTAAACCTAATGTGGCCTATGATAACTAGTACCTCATGACCTAAACATTTAAAACTTATTTTCTTCTCTTCTGTGTTGATTTTTACAGCCAAACATACAGTGCAAACCACTGAAAGAAGGAACTGAAACTGAACAGTTTTGGAGTTTACTGGGAGGGAAATGTGAATATCCCAGTCAGAAGACTGTGAAAGAACCGGAAAATGATCCCCATCTATTCTCTTGCACTTACTCGAGAGGTAAGAGTTCTGGGAAGAACTTCATTTGCTTCTATTCGTTTCCTATGTAACTGTTTCTCCTTACTTGTTACATGGGATCATGCTGTGCTGCGTATTATATGGGGTTCATCCAGGCAATCTAAAGGTGTGTGGTGAGGATAACCTTGCTGCTTATTTCCTGATTGTAAATTGCATCTCTGTCACTAATAGTGAATAATTGATAACAAATTTGGATCCTCTGCCAATGCAGGTGACAGAGATATACAACTTCAGCCAAGATGATCTTATGACTGAAGACGTATTCATTCTTGACTGCCGTTCAGACATCTTTGTTTGGGTTGGGCAACAAGTGGACTCAAAGAGCAGATTGCAAGCTCTAAATATCGGAGAGGTATTAAATGTTAGCATGTTTAACTAGAAGAATTTTTTTAATGCTTTTGGAGAAAAGTTGGCCTTTGTTTTGTTCCTTTTCTGAAAGGAGCAATTTCTTGATTCTTCTCTCTTCTGTTTCTTAACAGAAATTCCTGGAACATGATTTCCTTATGGAAAATCTATCTCGTGAAACTCCTGTTTTTGTTGTGATGGAAGGAAGTGAGCCAACCTTTTTCACTCGATTCTTCAATTGGGATTCTGCAAAATCTGCAGTAAGAATATACTCTATTTAAGTGAAGTTCAATACTTTGATAGTTGTATATCCTGGGCAATTCTTCCCTCGTTATTATTTTTTTTTAAAAAGAATTGGATTTTCTAAAGGAAAATTTTCAATTTTGTTTGTGTGGATGTTAAGTTGTCAGATTTTATTTTTGGTTGCAGATGCATGGAAATTCATTCGAGAGGAAGCTTGCAATAGTAAAGAATGGAGCGACACCCGCAGTAGATGTAAGATTAAATTTATGTTCTTGATTGCAAATAACTGATAGATGCTCCCTTTGAGGATGTATGTTTGGTTCACTTGACACTAGTTAGTGAGGGAATACATTGCCATCAAAACTATACCATCACTGCGGCAAATGAATGAGAGAAACAGAAAATTACGAAATTCAACTTCAGCCCAACGTTTTAAAGCCTGGATTGCCACCATCACTGACATCTGTAATTTCAATTCAAATTTGACTCAAATTATTGACTGACCATAATTTCCACTGCGAGTTTGAGGGAACACTCCAAGACAAAGTTCACACTCTAGAAACTTGGGTATGATCAAACAATGTACGGACTTCTCTTATGAAATGGAGTGCTTCCTCTCAACAGGTCCTAAAAAGATCGAACTGGCTCGTTGCAAACTCAGTTATTTGGTTGAGTAGGGTCTTATATTTTATAGCCCATGAGAATCATTTGAGGTTTCTAGATTGAAATTCTTGCTAGGTTAGTGAAGGTTTACTAACTATTGTTAAAACAAGCTGGTACCTTTGTTCTCCATCCAGCTCTATTTAGGGTAATTTTCTAAGGTATAAACTGACATTCTTTTATTTTCTGAATACAAGTTTGTTTTTCATCCACAACTCATCCTAGTCAAGGTTTAGTTTTCTTGATTCACATTGTCAGTTGGCAATCCATCAGTAGGAAATTGTGTGAACTGATTGTCATATGAAGTTCTCCATCTAGCTCTAACTTTCTAAGTTATAAACTGGCATTCTTTCTTTCTTTCTTTATTTTCTAAATACAAGTTTGTTTTTCATCCACAACTCATCCCAGTCAATGTTTAGTTTTCTTGATTCACATTGTCAGTTGACAATCTGTCAGTAGGAAATTGTGTGGACTGGCCGTCATATGAAGTTCTAAATTCAAATCTCATCGATGACTGTTTGAATCTTAAGTGTTTCGTTGATCCCATGTATTTTGCATTTTCATGTCACGTGTCCATCTTACAGATCTTTCCACGTGACTAATGACTCACATGAAGAGTTTTTAAGTGTTAAATTTGCTTCATCTACATTCTTAGTCCATAATCCCTAGGCTCAAGCTTCTGGATGAAATGGTTCTCTGATAGTCAATCACAATCCTATCACTCTGATGATGTGTCCCTATGGTGCCAACAATTTTGCGATGATTTGCCGTCATCTCATCCTCAATTTCTTAATATACCTAATGTGGAATGGACCAATCTATCATTTTGTTGTTTACAAATATATTAATTAAGCTTGTAAATCATGAACAAACACAATATTGAAATTGAGTTTCAAATCACTGGTTTTCAGATTTCTCAATTAAGAGCGCCGCTTATTCCTGAATAAATTCTTGCTCTGTAATAATAAGAGCCTTGAATTTAACTCTACGAAGGAATTTCACGTCAATATTTTTCCTTTTGTCTTCCTCAGAAACCTAAGCGGCGGTCACCAGCATCATATGGAGGAAGATCAGCTGTGCAAGACAAATCTTCTCAGCGCTCTAGAAGCATGTCCTTCAGCCCTGAGCGTGTTCGTGTGAGAGGGAGGTCTCCTGCCTTCAATGCATTAGCTGCTAATTTTGAGAACCCAAACCCCCCAAGTACTCGGAATCTTTCAACCCCTCCTCCAGTGGTTAGAAAGCTTTACCCAAAATCTGTATCTCCTGATTCAGCAAAAGCAGCGCCCAAGTCAACATCGATTGCAGCCCTTGGTGCTTCATTTGAGTCCTCGAAAGAAAGCATCAAACCTAACATTATTCCTAAGTCGTTAAAAGGTAAGGAGCTATGTCTAACTTAAGAGTAAGTTACACTTGTTGGAGTAACAACTATAAAATATTTGATGAAGCTATTTTTTTTAAAAAGAACTGTAGTATGCTAATTTATCTATTATAATTTAACCTATTCCTTATCCATATTTTCATTCTCCTTATGTCTAAACTTTGGAAAGGATAAATTAATTTACCCTTGAACTTATAACAGAAGTATGACCTTTCTCACATGTAAGTAATTAACCTTGCATTTCTCGTTGTTGAAGTGAGCCCTGTGGCTAAAAAAACAAACTCAGAGACGGCCAACAAAGCAAACTCTGAGGCAAATGCTAAGGACAGTATCACCAGAATGTCCAGTAGAATTGAATCCCTCACCATTAAAGAAGACGTGAAGGAGGGTGAGGCTGAGGATGAAGAAGGGCTTCCTGTGTTCCCCTACGAGCGCCTAACAGTGAATTGTGCCGACCCAGTTACTGAAATCGACATCACCAAACGAGAGGTAAACCACCGAAAACATTTGATTTTTAGGTTAATTGTGGATATACCCCGTGTAGTACTGCTGTTTGTTGCGGGGTGGGGGTGGGGGGTGGCGGGGATCTCTATCTGAGGGTAAAAGAGGCAACAAATTTCACTCAGGTGCTCTATCTGTGTTGAAAACTAGAGTTGGTAGTGTTGGGGATTGGTGATCCCCAGTTCCAATTGATACTATGGGGTCTATCCACAGTTAACCCTTGATTCTATCCCGGAATCTATATTAGCTTCTGATACATTAATTGGTGTCAATTGCAGACTTACTTATCTTCAGCCGAATTCAAAGAGAAATTCGGCATGACAAAGGATGCTTTCTATAAGCTACCCAAATGGAGGCAGAACAAGCTGAAAATGACCCTGCAATTGTTCTAAGCTTCCCACAATGTACCTTTACAGTCGAACTTGTGATTAGAGTCATCATCGTTAGTTAGTATGGATCCATCTTGTGCCGTTGCGGAGGGCAGATCCATAATGTAGGTGTGAAGGGGACAGTGTCGGTGCTTTTTTAGCTGCTTCTGCTCCCAAAAATACTCGATGGTTTGTTGGTTTTCCCCCTTCTGCCTCTACCATGTTGTTTGTATATCCAGGTTTGCTATGTCAGAGCATTCTGGTGTTCTTTGTGGTTAGAGGTTGGTCGTGAGCTTGCATTTTTGATTTTTTGTTTTTGTTTTTTCTTTCTTTGGGTTTGATTTATTTAACAATTGTTTCATAAGTTATAAAAAGAAAAAAAAAAAGAGAAAAATAAAAAAAGAGTGTATGATGTGATTGAGGGAATGAGAAGCTTGTACAGAAGTGTGTGAGCATATTGCTGGAAGTGTCCAGCTCGCATCAGGGTTGCTTCATCAATAAAGTCTTTATTCTTTTTTGTTTTCCCCTCCTTGTATTGCTGGCTAGTTGAATTTGGTCATTTTAAGTTTGTATTCTATGTAGTGATTGCATCTATATTTTATCTAAGCTAGTCCTTTTTTTTTTCTTCTCCCTACAACAAGTATTACGTGTCTTTTCTATATCAAAAACTGTAATTTAGGAAGGGCGTTTTTCTTCAAATTTTCTGTTTTTACTATTTGAAGTGCAAAAATGTCCCGTGTTTTCGACCATGCACAGAGCCGAGACGTTTTGCGTGTGCGTGTGATTTAGGATGTTACCTAATAGTTTCAGTCAATTTGACGCCGCGCCCGTCTTTAGAGTGAGCTGACCTGGTCATTTTGGAACAGCTAATGGGGGCAGCGGGATTTAATTGCCTCACATTTTGTAACTAACCTCTCTTTCCCAAACCACCAATTCCCCTTCTCTCTCTCTCTCTCTCTCTCTCTCTCTCTCTCTCTGTGCATCTGCAAGCTTCTTCCTCTTTGTTCATCTCCCCCGCATTGAGATTGAGATGATCTCTCAGAGAGATGCCATGAGTGAGCTTTGATATTTGATCAGTTTGATAAGCTCCTCGTTTCCTCTTGTAATCAAGGTACACATTTTCGTTGCACAGGTTCATAGGGGATAATTCATTTGTTACTAAGTTGAGGTTTTGATCTACTTGAGAGCTCCTCTTTTTTTCCCCTTTTGTCTGAATAACATTTTTTTTATATATAAAAATCATAGTGTATGCATGATTATTCTTGTATTATATATGTGGGGAAATGCCCTCTTCGTGGGGACCCTTCTACTGTTTAATTTCCTGGCCAACCCTAATTTGATTAATAAATGAAAATTTTACTGTTAAACGGCCACGAACCCTCGTGCAATTTTTAACAGCATGAGTTTACCTGAGGATTGGCTCAGCTTTTATCTATTTGCATCAAAAGGTTCCAAATCACCTGATCAGCGTTTAAATCTCTGGGACTGTAAAGATTCAATGCTTTCAAATACCATATTGTCAAGCAAGCAACAACTTTAGATCCAAAGATTCACATTCATACGAGGATCATTAATCATCTTCTTATGCCACTCACATTTTCATTCTACATTGTCGTTAATGCACAGCTAGCAGACGATCGAGCTCCATGTCTACAGAAGCAAAGGAAGTCGTTTATGAGCTCAAGACTACAAAGTGCGTACCAGCTCATCCGTCGAGTACCCCTCCTGCACCATCCCAAAGAAGGCGAAATCCCACCGGAGGACCAACAGAAACCCCTTCGGTAGACGCCACGTCGTCAACAACGAAGAACGACCAACAATCATAAGCTCACACAAAAACGCCTCAAGACATCCACAGCCTCCATCTCCTACTCCAAGATCCGACGCTGCCGCCAAGAAACCGATCGAGAAGACCTCATCACATCCATCATCCTCGTCTCAACCCAAGGACAAAACACGAGCGATACGGTCCTCGTTGTTGAAAACAACCAATTCTTCATTGAAAGTGCATGCAAATAGCAAGAGCATTTCAAAGGAAACAACTGCTCCTGCAAAGAGAAAAGATGCCAAGGCACAAGCACAAGCACAAGCACAAGCACAAGAAGAGATGGCGTCCTCTGTTTCAAAGAGAGGAGAAGAAGAAGAAGAAGGCAAGGTCGACGGTGAAGAGAAGAAAGACGATGAGGTGAATATTATGAAGGAAGAAGCCGACAGTAAGTCGAAAAGCTGATTTAGCGAAAGAAACATGAGCTATCTCAGCCAAGAACGAAGTTGAAGTGAAATAGCAGAACGCAAAAAGAGAACAAAGTGAAGCTGTTGGCGCTTTTGAAACCGTCATCTCGTTGCAGGAGCCAGAAAAGACTCGGAGCCCACAGAAGCGAGGAAGTCCACATTGTCAACACAAGGAAGAAGAGAAGGCCGAGGAAGGCGAGAGTGGTCAACTCAGTAGTCGACGTGAAGAGACGGGTGATGAACGTGTTCAACATAACACCGAAGAGCAAGAGGCGTCGCCAAAGGATGTAGTGAAGGATCAAGAAGGAGAGGTAGAAAAATGAGGAAGAGAACAAAGTGGGGATGGATGAACAAAATCAGAAAGGGGCCGGAGGACAAAGAGTTAATTCTGACCCTTTTAGAGAGCTCGTTTTTCACTAGAATGTCATTAAAAAATAATATCGACAGCAAATGATATATAATATTTTACAGCAGTCTTTAGTTACCATCTTATAGCTGTAATGAACCAAACAACCAGTGATATGTCGAGTTTATCCTACAGCTTTATCATTGGAGATTCATGATGTAATATGTGCTTGATGAAGAAAAACAAATATGAATATGCTGTTGAAGAACCCTCATCAGAATTTTATTTCAGACCTTGAACACAGATCAGGTTTTCCTATAACAAATCTCATCTTCTTATAAATATTGCTAATTACCAGCCTTGTGGTCAATTGCTTCATTGTCTATTGCTATATGTATACTCTAAATCAAAACCTTTTGAGTTTGACCTTCTCCACTAGTAGAAAATCGTACATCCTAGACAGAATATCCTAGACAGAATTTTTTCCGTTTAGAATGATATTAAACTAGACAGAATATCATGTTATATAACCCTATTGAATGTTATATAACCCATTTGAATGGATATTCTAAATCAAAACCTTTTGAGTTTGACCTTCTCAGAGCTTGCCACTTTAAGCTCTTCTCTTCTCAAAATCCTTTGCCACCTGTGCCTAATCTAAAACATCCATCTTAGTCTTAATCTTAATTAACTTATATCTTGAAAAATCTTAATTATGAAAAAAATCCTAATTACAAAAATTTATTATAGAATATAATGTAATTAATATCTTATCAAGTAATATCTTATCAAAATTTAAAATCGGGAATATTTACCAAATCTTTAATTACAACACTAGTAAAAAACTAGGCATTGGCGACGGATTTGAAATCCGTCGCCAATACAAACATTGGCGACAGAAACAACCCTGTCGCCAATACCCCGTCGCCAATGTTTGCATTGGCGACGAATTCGATCCGTCACCAATACGTATTGGCGACAGATGCGTTCCGTCACCAATACTTATTGGCGACTGATGCGTTCCGTCGCCAATAAGTATTGGCGACGGATCGAATCTGTCGCCTATAAGTATTGGCGATGGAATACATTCGTCGCCAAATACTAATGTGCCCATCGTAAAAAAATTAATATTAGTGATCGATTATCCCATTATTAATGAGTTCCCCCCACAAAAAATTAAGAACTATTTTAATATTAGTCCCTCAAATTTATAATATTTTAAAAGTAGTCCAACAAATTATGTAAATTGCTAACTGTTGATGTCCAAGATCACACAGTTGATGGAAGCTATCCGTTGATGACGAAGAGTGAGGGGATGAGAGATGAGGCCCACTCCTCCTCCGACTTTATGCTCGATTCTTGGACTGAGATTCCTGATTCTTCTGTATAAACAAGAAGAACGAACCTGTAAGAGGGCGGGGCTTGTTTCCCCCGTGGTACCTCTGACGGTCAAGTCAACTGGTGAGCTTGAGTGGGGTTTGAGGGAGAGTCTCAGGACCATTGAGGTCCTTGTAAGGGGGTACTCTTTTAGAGTTATTAGTAAAAAGAAAATAGATCAAGAGAGAGAAATGATCCCCCGAATTTAATGAAGGCCCAACCTCTTAGTAGAGTCAAGATTAAAAGAAAGAAGAAAAACCCCCTTTCTTTACCATCCTTCCTCCCTTTGATAGTCCTTCGCCCCTGAGATTCTAACCCTTGGCTTTGACTATGCACGGGAGGGTGGTGGTGGGGTGAGCAGACAGGCTGCTGAGTCATCCTCCACTTTACAGATGTTGGCTGGCGACTGGAGGGGAAGTCATTCAAGCACAGGAGAGGATGTCTCTAACATATCCCGGATTTGACAGATGAGGCATGGCAGAAGATAGGATGGCTGCTTAGTCATTCTTTGCTTTACAGATATCGGCTGGCGACTGGAAGGAAAGTCATTCGAGCACAGGAGAGGATATCTTAGTGATATCTAGAAAGTGACTTGTGAGCAAAGTAAGCTGTTTATGCCTGAGATTTGTCAGAGTTGAGATCTTGATGTGATCGATTAATACTGTAGTGTTGATTGATGTATATCTGAAGGGAGCTGAGTTGGATTTTATCCCCTTAGTAGAGGCGGGTTGGTTTTCGAGTCGTCCCTATGATTTGCTGACCAGATAGTCGAGTGAGCTTCTGGACGAGGAGACAGCCGAGTAGATGGTCAAGCCGACTATTTGAGGAGTCGTATCGATTTATTAGGGGTCGACTAATCCCATACTTCGCATCGGTAAAGATGCCTCGTTTGCTCGGCGGGTCAATAGACTCGTTCTTGGCTGGGCTTTAGGCCGCTAAGCTGGTTTGGGCCATACCTCTTTTGGGCCTATGAAGACATAGTTTCTTAATATTTTTTTCTTTAAATGGTGAATTACCCTAACAGATGGCCCTTTTCACTCAAAGCTAACTTTAGTCGGGTTTGAGTGAAATAGATGAGAGCTTTCGATCAGCATAAACTCGCTCAAGATGTTGAGGGTTTTTAGCCAGTTGATCGTGGCTGAAGACGTAGTATAGGAATTTTTGTCTAACCATCATCTCCTATGAACTGATATCTTAAACTGCTTTTTTAGAGGAGACGAAGCGTTGTGGACAGAACGAGTGGCGTTCCATTGCCAATTTATTAGCATGGAATAATGTGCAGGAGCGGCGGTTGGTATTTTGAGCAATCCGTTTTAGATTCTCAAAGTGAATCTTTCTTGGTCGCTTCAAGATTGTGCCTCTTAAGTTCTTCTGCACACTTCTTTGGAGACTTTATAAATATTCTAGGGGCTGAGAGGATTTTCTCACAGACTTTTTATCTTCAAAATCGTTGAACTTTGTAAAGAAGGAACTTTTCCATGGCTTCTCCAGTTCCCGCTTCTAGCCATCGCGAAGAAAAGCTTGTCGTACTTCAGCGTCTGCGTTCAAGGGTCCTTAGGGATCAGTTGAAATGGGCATGGGAGAGGTTCGATATTCCTCGAGCCGTAACGCTTGAGGAGCCCAAGCTGACGGAGCCTATATATAATCATGGTGAGGGGCGAGTGCCACTGTACTTGGTACATCTAGAGCAGGGTCTGTAGCTGCCTCTTCATCCCTTTGTTAGGGGACTACATGTAGCTCGGGGGGTTTCCCCCATGCAGTTTTATCCGAATGCGATAGGAGCTTTGATGGCCTTCGTGGTCGTCTGCTACCGAGTTGGAGTACGGCCCAGCATGAAAGTGCTAGGTCATTTGTTGAGTGTAGGATCGACTGAAGGGGACCCACATTATTTTTATCATATTGATGATAATTTCAAGCTCTCCTTAGATCTTCCTGAGTTGGAGGAGGATTGGAGGGAGCACTTTGTGTGGGCTTATGGAGCTGATGACATATTTGTCTGCTCGACCTGGCTAGAGGCAAATCTGGAGGCCCTAATGCCAGTTGCCGATTTGCAGGCCCTAATGCCAGTTGCCCTTAGCAGTCTGGAGAAGAAGGCCTTGGAGAAGATCTGTTCTTATGCCAGGGCTTTGGACATGGAGGACTTGGTGGAGAACATATCCATGATCTTGTCTTCCACTGGCTTCACGATTAGGGCGAGCTCTCCTATTCCTCCGTCAGTGGAGCTATGTAACAGGAGGCTCGGGGCCAAGAGGGAAGGCTCTGCTGGGGGGTCTCAGAAGAGATTAAGGGGGGCTCTTGATGTGGAGGAGGATTCTGACAGAAGGCCCCACGTGATTGAGGTTGCTCCCTCTTCTGGTGGGACGAGGGATATGAGAAGGTACTTAGCCGACTCTGTGGATGTAGGGTTTGCTGGGGAATCTTCCCCGAGACCTGGACCGTATCGTCGACCCGGTAAAGAACCTCTTGCTTCGGTCGATGAGGTGGATGGTGCAAATGAGTCTTCTCCTGGCCCTGGCGGTGGCGCTGGCGAGGGAAGTTTGAAGGAAATGTCAAGCAATGACATTCATCAAGATTTTCAAGCTTGTCAAGCCCAAGGGGCTTCATTAGAGCTAGCTCTATTCCGCCGGCTCGAACACATGCTGGTCGTAGAGAGATCAACCAGGGAAGAGGCAGAGAGACGGGCTGCTGTCTTGGAGGTTGAACTGGCCGAGACGAAAAGGTTACTGGGGTGCTACCAGACCATCAGCTCTAGACAGTCCAAGACTATCTAGGGACTAGAACAAGAAGTGGATGCACTACCACATATTTGCTCTAACGCAACGGTTCAAAACCGTTGCGCTAGCCATGGAACCGTCGCCCTTGAGCAAGTGCGACGGTTCTCAAACCGCCTCATATGTTGCCGTTGCCCTACCTCTACCGTAATGGTTTTGAACTCTATTGCGACGGTTTTTTGAACCGTTGCCCCCGCATCTAATGCAACGGTTTTAAAAGGTAAGTGGTTTTTAAGCCATTGCAATGGTTTTGATTGAGCTATTGCGACGGTTTTTAAGCTATTGCAGCGGTTTTGATTGAGCTATTGCGACGATTTTCAAGCTACTGCAGCGATTTTTTTAGATATTACAACAATTTTAAAAGATCTAACGCAACGGTTTTAGTAGGCTAAAGCTATGGTTTTGATAGAGCTATTGCAACAGTTGGAGCTATTGCAACAGTTTTAAAAGACCTAACGCAACGATTTTAGTAGGCTATAAGTATGGTTTTGATAAAGCTACGGCGACAGTTGGAGCTATTGCAACAGTTTTAAAAGACCTAACACAACAGTTTGGATTGAGCTATCGCAACAGTTTAGATCGAGCTATCGCAGCGGTTTTGATCGAGCTATCGCAATGGTTTTAATCGAGCTATTGCAACTGCTCAATCGAAGCTGTTCTTGGTTTCCTACGTCAAAATAATTATAGTATTCAATTACCTGGACAATCTTTTTGAGAACATGGCCAAGTCAAATTTTAATACACAATATAAAAGTGATTATGTTGAGCATAATCAACCATAATGATAAGTGCCAACATACATCAGTATAGTATAAAAACTACAAAGTATTAAATCCACACTACCAACATTTCAACTCAGAAAATATCGTACCGAACTAACATTCAAACAATGTACTTCAACATTTGATTACAAAACATGAAACTTCTCGATCAAAGACTATATTCTCTATTTGTTTCCAAAAACTTGTTCCTCAATGTCAAATACTCACTAGGAACCTGTCAGTATCAATCTCAATCTTGGCTTTCATCATTTCTGTACCTGTGTAAATTTCCATGAATCAGCATAATTTTTGCAATGATGATAATAAAATTGGGGAAAAAAGATGTTTGAAAAGGAAGTTAAGAGAACAATGTACATCATGCTTGTTTGTTGCCACAATTCCAAATCCAACCATTTTAACAAAAAAGGGTTTGGATAAATTGGGGAAAAAGTATGTTGTTTCAAGTTGCACATGTGACAAATATTACATGGATGCTTCCCAAACAATGAATTTAGGATTGAGAATTCTAGATTTGAAATTACCTCAAATGATCTCTTCTCTTTTGAACTTGATCTAGAATCACCCACTGTTACAGTTTGTCCAAATACTAGTCAATGTCTGCACATGCATCCCTAAGGGCAAAATTGTCATATCAAGTTTTGTAAAATTCTCTAACCGTTAATTCTTGTGACTTTCTTCACGCTAATGTAGCAATGCCATTTTATCCCTAAAAACTAAAAAATTTATCCCTACTTAGTTTTAAACTCACTTACTCGAGAAGAGATTTTGCTTATAAATCTAATACATTATATATGTATATAACATGAAGTAACTTCATAATGAAAAGCACATACAGTCAATACCTTGCCCATGGTATGAAAACTAAGCTCAAGAAGAAACGATATCAGATCTGTGGGGTCCACGCCACAATCCTTCAAACAATGAGCAAAAACCAAAACATTAGAATATAGAAAAAGTACATTACACATGCACACAAACAGTCACATAAATGTAAGCATGCATACGTCCATACATGTATATATGTATGTATAAATTAATTAATGCATGAATAGTTATACGTGTGCGCATACATAGGTACATTGGACCAACATAAATGCATGTGTATAAGATGTGCATAGATAGATAGAGCATCAACTGTGTCTTCCCCTTAAAATGGAGTTAGATATGGACACAACAAAAGATTTATAAAATTTTATAAAAGTATCAAGTCCTTGATCATCGATGGGCACATGTAACAACAAGAAATATGCTAATCTTGCTGAAAGCTATGGAATGAGTGCTAGAACTTCTTACCTCAGAAGATGAGATATACTCCCCTACTATGTACCACAGTTGGGCATTGGTTTCCATCAGCTGTTTAAAGAAACAACCATAAGGTAATATCAAGGTGAATAACGAACTTATTAATGAAGTTTTAATAGAAACAAACCAGGAACTGAAAACCATACTTAATTAGCGTCGCAGCTTCATTTTCCCTGCATGGCATCAACACTTCTAAATGTTTCATGAATGTTTACGTATTAAATATCTATATGCTGAGAATCCACCAACTTGAATAAGGAAACTTAGAAGCAGAGAACCTTGAACTCAAAAGACCTCACTGAAAAACTCACAGCATAGAGGACCTGAAATTCGTTAACCTCTCTGCTTGAGCTGAGCTTATGAGTTGCAACAAGAAACACTGGTCTACCCCAAGGTGAAAGAACACTATTATCCTTAGGAACATAAAATATGAAGCAGATGGTCCAAACCATATAACTTGGAATAGAGAATAAGATGCAAAACCATTGGAAATAGTGACATCCTTAGCGAGTAATATATAAGAAAAGTACAGGGAGGGACAGAGAGAGAACCTCCCATTGCTCAAGGGCATAGGACTCTAGCTCCTCCAAGCTAGGCAATCTCCCTGTAATACTAGAGGACATTGGTTCTCTAGGTAGAGTTGCACTGCAATAACATAAAGAAATAGAAGTAAATGATTCTCTTGATATGAATGCTGTAAATGTTCCAATACCGTGCTCATTGATGGTAGACTCATATACTAAATTTATTCCAATGCTTCTTTGGAGTCTTCTTGTGGTTAATATTAGTCAAAATTTATCAGTGTCATTTTGGAGTGCTTAAGTATTTTGGCTAGTATGAAAATCAGAATTAATTTATCAGATATGGTTAAGAAATTAAGCTATTATTGTATAAGTTCCAAAAATCCCTTGACATTTTGTTAAGTGATTCTTTGTATTAAACAGTATATAATGTAAAGGAGAGTAGGGATTGTTTCTACAAGAATTTGGGTGATCCGCACGCACTGACATGGCAGGCTCAATTTCAGCAGTCCAAGCAGCAGAATTTGGACTGAGCCAATCCAAGTGTGCAACCATATGTTTTTAAGGACTATAGTGATTCTACTGGTTTGTACAAAATAAACTGCGCATGAAGGGACCAAAATAAAGTGCATAGCTTTTGCTGCAGCAAATCAGAGAGGTAATTCCAAATGAAAAGCTTAAACATTGATTTGCACTATGGAATTTAATATCTCAAGGGATAAAATCATGTTTTCATCAACATGAAGGTCAAAATCAATTTCAATAGGCAACAACTTCTGAAACTATATGATGCACAGATGCATCCAAGATGTTCCCATCTGTACGGGTCAACATGTGTGCATTGGTTCTTTCACTAGTTTAATAAGAAAAATTACATAGCAACTAAGCTTGTCCAACTATTTACAGCTAGTTATGAATTTTGCTCAATAATAGAGCAATCATGTATTATTTCAGTTTATAATACATGATGAAAGTACACTAAACAACAAAACATGCAGATGATTGTCCCTGAACTTCTTTCCTAGAACTCAGAAGAATGATCCTAATCTCAGAATCTTGAGCTCCACACCAAAGTCTCCTTTATAGGTCCATATCTAAGTTAACAATGTTCCGCATTTATATGTCAATTGAACCTTCCGACTTATCAGCCCTATGCTGGTCACAAGTGAACTCTTATGTTTCAGGAATAAAGATGGATTTCTGAATATAATCAATAAAATATGCCACATGTCAATTGCTTATATGAACCCTTTCTTGGCTCAAGAACATAAGATTATACTGATATTAGGCATGACTTATAAAACGTGATATATAACATTATCTTCTTTGTGATGATAAGGATTATATATAGCATACAAGTTTTCTGCAACTCATTTAATTGGGGAACATGACTCAGATACACATCATAACAAATTATCAATTTTTTTGGGACAAAACTTGAGAAATAAAAGTGATATATAACATGCAATAACTAAGCGGGTCATTGAAAAGATTTCATATACATCATCATAGATTTCCCGGCTAATTTATATGCTAGTCAATGATAATCATATTTTATTATAATTTTATACCCTCATTATCTATTTTATATGAATAAATATACTATTAATAATTGTTGTTAGATTAGTTTGCACATAAATGAATGGAAATATAAATAATATTATTAAATGTAAAAACCCCTCAAAATCTCTCTTCTCTATTTTTGTAGCATTTTAGAAGCACATTGAAGCAAAAAGCCAATAGAACCGGACTGCTGGACTTAGTTGTAGAGGCTTGGAATTTCAAAATCAAACATGAACTTGGATGCAAATAGTTGGAATGTAGTGGGCTTTTATGCAAAGATTTGAATTAATGACCGGATGTGGTGGATTTTCACAAAAAAATCACTGCTGCAGACTTTGGACTTTGGGCCGGATTTGTTAGAGTTGATTCCCATTTGGATGCTTTGATTTTAAAGAATGGGCCGGACTTAAATGCAAAAATGACCGGACTTAATTTCTACTCAAGACCGAAGTTGTTTTTCCTTGCTGCTGGATTTTCAAGATGGACCGGTTGCTTCAAAATCAAATGAATTTTAATTCATGGGCCGGACTTGATGACTTAGAGATTTGATGGGCCAGACTTTGCTATTTTGAAAATCAAATGGGAAGTTCCATAAGAGCTGGACTTGTGTGTTGCAACTTGGAAATTTTGCAATCAAATCTCATGACCGGACCTGCTGATCTGCTGCTACTGAGATGTGAATTTTGTTTCATGGACCGGACTTTGGATGCAAGGAGATTTTAATTGAAAATCAAATGAATCAATGGGCCGGTTGCAAACAACAAGGAATTGAATGGGCCGAGTTGCTTATTGTGAAAATCAAATGAGAAAATCAAAAGGAATTAGGCCTGACTTTTTGCTGCAGAATTGAAATTAAATGAAAATCAAATGGGCTTCTCCGGATGTGGACTTGGGTGCTACTACAAATTGGATTTTTGAATTTCTTTTGAAAATCAAATAAATCAAAGGTGAAGATTGTTGCTTGGGGCTCAAGACAAATCCAATGGCTCATATTAATTGAAGATTACTATAAATAAGGGTAGAGAGTGAGGGGTTAAGGGTATGAAAATTTTTGTAACTCCTTTTGGAAAGGAGGGCTACTCTTAATTAAGAAGGCCTTCCAAAATTATAACTTTAGTTGCAATTAATAATAATAATTTTTTCATCACTTTAATTTTTTCTCTTCTTCTCTTTATTGGATGATGAAGATGAAGATGAAGATGGAGAATTATTTGAAGGTTTGCATTTCTTTTCTTTTTCTCTTTTATTGCTTATTAGTGTAGCTTTATTTCTATGCTTGTAGTTTAGATTTTATTTTCTTGTTAAATAGCCAAGAGGCTAGAACCCTCTTGCCTTAGATTTATTTCATGCTTATAGAGTAGATTTATTTTCGTGCATTTAATTCTTGCAATTTTATTTTATAGTTTAGATTTTGCAATTTATTTTGTAGTTAAATTTTAATTTCTTGCACTATTCACCTTGAGGCTAGAACCCTCTTGGGTTTAGTTTTTCTTTTTGTTTATTTTTATTTTGTTTGATTCGCCTTTAGGCTAGAACCCTCTAGGGAATCACCCTTTTCTAAGAAGTGGGTTCAATTTTAGATTACCCATATCTATAATTGAATCCACCATCTTTAATTTCTTGTATTTTCTTTTATTCTTGAATTTTATTTTCTTTATTCTTGATTTTTATTTTCTTTTTCCTTCTTGCCTTATTGATCATATTCATTCTTTGTCACATCCACTCTCACTTACACTTGCACCTATTCACACACCATTTTCACTCTCTCAATCTCTTCACAATCACATTCACTTATCACTCCTACTTGTCACGCACACAACATAAGAACCGATTTCATATTTTCTCCTACAAAACACCTTCCTCGTGGGATCGATATCTTAAATACTATAACTTGACACGGTTGTGCACTTGCAACCTTTTTGGTACATGTTTATGCCGCATCAAGTTTTTGGCGCCGTTGCCGGGGAAGGTGCTTAAGTAGGTTTTAATTATTTTGGTTCTTTAACTTGTGTGTTTATTGTGAAAGAACTACTTGGAGATTAAAGATCAAGAATTGGAGATTGAGGAATTGGATATTCGCTTGTGGTAAGTCTTCTTCCTTATATTTTCAATTCCACACCTTTAGTTAGTTTCTCACAATTAGTGACAATTAGGATCTTAAAAAAAAAAGATTTTATTTCCGTTGACCATAATAAAATTCACCCTTCACTTTGACATTTACTAACAAGATAATAAATTCAAACAAATCCCCCCTTCTCATTTGTTTGATTGTTAACCCTAATTAAAAAAAAAGAAAAAGATTTTTTTTCCCATCCTTTTTAGTTGTTTTTAATTCATTGGGTTGCATTTCATATAGTTAGTAGGAATTCACCAAGTGATTTGAGCATCTTGATTTGGCACACACTTCAAAATATTTTTAAGGGCAAAACCCCATAATCAAGATAAGGTGAGGGATTTCATCACCCTTTCCTTAGCCCAAAAATCACTAATTCCTCACTACACCACCCAAGCCTAATAAAACTCATTAGACGTTGGCCCCTAAGGATTCGAGCTCAATAAGGAACAAGAAATCCTTAAGTGAACCGGTTTAAGTTTTCTCAGATTAGTTGGTGTCTAAGGCAAGGTTTAGGGGTTGCGTAAAGCGCTCCGCAAGGAAAGAGGTACTTAATTGATCTTTGATCACCCTCTAGTACTATCCTTACCTGGCTAACTACCTGGGTAAAACTTTGATCTTTTCACTGTAGGAGTTTTTGGTTAGGAGCTGGTCTAGTTGAGTTAGGCTAAACCCTAGAATTAGAGTTGATTGAAAAGTGATTGTTTTGATTTGTTTTAGTTAGGATTTTTCTTTTTCTTTATCTTCTCAAAAAAAAAACTAATTTTCTTTCTTTTCTTTAAAAAAAAAATTTAAAAATAAAAAGAAATATTTTGGTGTATGCAACAGTGGATTAGGGATAATACACATCGATTAATTCGCTTTGAACCAATCATAGAAATGGAGCATCCTAATCCACCCGTTCTTCATGATATGTGCTATCCCATTAGGAATGCAATCCCCTCATGCATTAGGCTCCCCGAAACAAATGGAATAAGTTTTGAGCTTAGACCGCAATACATAAACATGCTTCCCAAATTCCTTGGTAATGAAACAGAAGACGCATATATTTTTATTTCGGAATTTGAGGAAGTGTGTATTATGATTAAAATGAGAGAATTAAATGAAGATGCGGTTAAGCTTAGATTTATTCCATTTGCTCTTAAGGATAAAGCTAAAAAATGGCTGTACAGCTTACCAACAAATTCCATCTCAACTTGGGATGAATTTGTCACCGTTTTTCTTAAGAAATTTTTTCCTATTCATAAAACGGTAAAGCTTAGGAACAGCATTCAAAACTTTAAAATTATCCCGGGAGAACCTTTTTGGAAGTATTTTGACCGATTTAAAGATCTTCTCATCCAATGTCCTCATCACGGTTTAGAGAAATGGCGATTGTGCCAAATAATTTATGAGGGATTAGATTATTCTGCAAAAACTTCCTTAGAATCAATGTGCCACGGGGATTTTATGAGGAAAAATGCTGATGAAGCTTGGGAGTTTTTGGAGAGTCTTTCTGAAAAAACAATGCAATGGGAACAGTGCGATGACAGGGTTTCATCAGTTCCCCATTCTAAGTCTAGTGGTCTTTCCTTGGAGTCAAACATTGCTTCTGAAGCGAAGATGGCGACAATTCTGCGGAGGTTAGAAGCCTTAGAAATTAAGGAACGAGCTCCAGCTCAACTCAATCATGTTTCTTTCCCAGGATGTCATAATTGTCAGTCTCCTACCCACGTTTCAGAGGAATGCCCTCTCCTAGGAAATAACAACGCAATAGAACAGATGAACGCTGCATTCCAGCACCCTAGAAATGATCCATTTTCTCCAACCTACAATCCAGGTTGGAGAAATCATCCCAACTTTGCATGGAATCTAGGAAATTCTCCCGGAACTCAAAATTTCACTCCCGCTTCGACCCAACATTTTCCTAGGGGAAACACAGTTCCATTCAATTCTCATTCACAATTTCAACAACCCAATCTGCCGTATCAAAATCAGTCTCCTCCTCATCAAGCTGTAATTCAAACTCCTCACAATCCAGATCAAGATAAACGTCTCAATGTCTTGGAAAGGGGTTTAGAAACCATAATTAAGGCCTCTACTCAAACCACGAATATGTTGACTCAAACATCTAGCACGTTGAATTCCTTCATGCAATCAACCGGACAAATGCTCAACTCCAACACTCAAGCTATAGCTAGATTAGAATCCCAACTTGGTCAACTAGCTAGTGCCGTGAGTGAAAGAGAGAAAGGAAAATTTCCGAGTCAACCCGTGGTCAACCCTAATAACACAGGATGCAGTTCATCCTATGAAGCTCAAGTGAATGCAATCCATTCACTTCGGTCAGGTAGACAGGTCGATAATCAAGTGAGAACTCCGCCAAGTCAAACTCTTGATCCTGTACAAATTCCTTCTCCTTCTCCTTCTGATGAATCTATTCAACAATCACTCCCCTCAGATGACCAAGAACCTGAACCCGAACCTGAGCCTGCTTTTGATAGATTTAGACCGGTTGCTCCCTTTCCAGATAGACTCAGGTCTAGGAAACACTCTCCTCAGGAGGAGAAAATCCTAGAGACATTCAAGCAGGTTAAGGTCAACATTCCTCTCTTAGATGTAATTGAACAAATTCCATCTTATGCTAAATTTTTAAAAGAATTGTGCACTAAGAAGAGGAGAATAAATGTCCCAAAGAAAGTCTTTTTAGCCGCCAATATCAGTGAAATGCTGTCAAATCCCATACCTTTGAAACGTAAAGATCCAGGTTCCCCCATCATTTCATGTATCATTGGTAATACTCACATTGATAAGGCGCTTTTAGACTTAGGGGCCAGTGTCAATTTGCTTCCATATTCAGTCTATCAGCAATTGGGTCTAGGTGTACTGAACCCAACCAAATGCACCTTACAGTTGGCTGATAGATCTGTCAAGGTCCCTATGGGTGAGTTAGAGGATGTTCTGATTAAGGTTGGAGATTTTATTTTTCCAGTAGATTTTGTAGTCTTGGAAACACAGCCTGTTTCCAATCCCAAAGGACAGACACCTGTCATCTTAGGACGACCGTTCTTAGCCACTTCTAATGCTCTCATCAACTGTAGAACTGGTCAAATGAAGCTGTCCTTTGGGAATTTGACTGCTGATCTCAACATTTTTAATCCAGGGGACCAACCAAATAATCAGCCTCTAGAAATAAACTACATTCAGGAAAGATCAGAAGAAGAAGAAGAAGAAGAAGAGTGTGATTTAAGTTTTGAGGAAATTTTTGATGAAGAGTTAGAGTTTTTAGAAAAAAAAAAAAGAAGAAAAAAAAAGAAAAAAAAGAAAAAAAAAAGAAAGAAAAGAAGAAGAAGAAGAAGAATAAATTGTTGTTTTCATCCTCCTCAGACCAAAGGTAATTGCAGATTTTTATCAACCGACCAAATATAAGTGTTTCACTTCTTATCTGCTTTCCTTTATGCATCATAGAGTTTGCATTGAGGACAATGCAAAATTTAGGTGTGGGGATGGAAATTAGTTATTTTTTTCGCTGTATTTTACATTTTTAGTTACATTTTTGTTCTTTTTCCTTTTTAAAAAAAAATTTTAAAAATATCATCACTTGCCAAATTGATTGAGTTAAGTAATAATTAAATTATTTGATAAATTTGAAATTTTCTAATTCCTAGTTAGTTATTTACTTAAGTTTACTTTTTATGATAACTCTAAATAAATTTCTTAAGAAATGATTTTCAAAGTAGTATATTTTACTTAAGCCTTAACTTGGACTTTTATTTAAAATAATGAAATTTTTGCATGCTTAGCTTAAAGTTGAAAATAATTTTTCAAAGTGTCTTGATTTACATATTTTTCAAAATATATATACATATACAAAAAAAAAATTGCAAAAGAAGAGTGCGAAAAATGGGCACAAAAAAAAAACTCGTGAATTCTAGGTGATTCTATCTTATAAAGCCTAAGCTGACCGAGTAATTAAGCCCAATGATGTATTTTCATACTTAATGACCTAAGCCCAATTGGGTTGAGATCCATTGGCCCAAAACTCGTTAAAAGGTCACTTAGAAAGCCCGTTAAAGTAGAAAAAAAATCACCAAGGGTGAAAGAGTTAAAAATAATAATAATAATAATAAATATTTTATAGTTGTATATATGGTCTTGGAAAATATTTTAAATCAAGCAACTTGAAAATTATTTAAAACAAAGAGTTAGCATGTTCTTTTCAAAACTTTTAAATTAAATTTCTAAGTTTGGCTTGGTTTTGTATTGCTACAATGAGAAGATTTTCTTAAAAATATACCTTAGAGTTATATATAAAAATGTTTTCTTGAGTGATAACTGGCTCCAATTAGATTATCTAAAAGTTATCAAGTGAATTTAGTTATTTACTGACTTCTTTAATTTGGCAAGTTGACCGAATTTTGTGGGTATATTCACTGCAAACCCTCACGAGACTACAACTCGTCCACTAGGGTAACCTAGGGGTTTAAAGGCTTGTTGTATGCGCTAAATACAACCGCGATTCCTGCGAAAGTGAGTTAGGATCTTCTTTTTATTTTTTTCCTTTGCTAGAGGACTAGCAAAAGTTTAGGTGTGGGGGTATTTGATAATCATATTTTATTATAATTTTATACCCTCATTATCTATTTTATATAAATAAATATACCATTAATAATTGTTGTTAGATTAGTTTGCACATAAATGAATGAAAATATAAATAATATTATTAAATGTAAAAACCCCTCAAAATCTCTCTTCTCTATTTTTGTAGCATTTTAGAAGCACATTGAAGCAAAAAGCCAATAGAACCGGACTGCTGGACTTAGTTGTAGAGGCTTGGAATTTCAAAATCAAACATGAACTTGGATGCAAATAGTTGGAATGTAGTGGGCTTTTATGCAAAGATTTGAATTAATGACCGGATGTGGTGGATTTTCACAAAAAAATCACTGCTGCAGACTTTGGACTTTGGGCCGGATTTGTTAGAGTTGATTCCCATTTGGATGCTTTGATTTTGAAGAATGGGCCGGACTTAAATGCAAAAATGACCGGACTTAATTTCTACTCAAGACCGGAGTTGTTTTTCCTTGCTGCTGGATTTTCAAGATGGACCGGTTGCTTCAAAATCAAATGAATTTTAATTCATGGGCCGGACTTGATGACTTAGAGATTTGATGGGCCGTACTTTGCTATTTTGAAAATCAAATGGGAAGTTCCATAAGAGCTGGACTTATGTGTTGCAACTTGGAAATTTTGCAATCAAATCTCATGACCGGACCTGCTGACCTGCTGCTACTGAGATGTGAATTTTGTTTCATGGACCGGACTTTGGATGCAAGGAGATTTTAATTGAAAATCAAATGAATCAATGGGCCGGTTGCAAACAACAAGGAATTGAATGGGCCGAGTTGCTTATTGTGAAAATCAAATGAGAAAATCAAAAGGAATTGGGCCTGACTTTTTGCTGCAGAATTGAAATTAAATGAAAATCAAATGAGCTTCTCCGGATGTGGACTTGAGTGCTACTACAAATTGGATTTTTGAATTTCTTTTGAAAATCAAATAAATCAAAGGTGAAGATTGTTGTTTGGGGCTCAAGACAAATCCAATGGCTCATATTCATTGAAGATTACTATAAACAGTGGTAGAGAGTGAGGGGTTAAGGGTGTGAAAATTTTTGTAACCCCTTTTGGAGAGGAGGGCTACTCTTAATTGAGAAGGCCTTCCAAAATTGTAACTTTAGTTGCAATTAATAATAATAATTTTTTCACCACTTTAAATTTTTCTCTTCTTCTCTTTATTGGATGATGAAGATGAAGATGAAGATGGAGAATTATTTGAAGGTTTGCATTTTTTTTTCTTTTTCTCTTTTATTGCTTATTAGTGTAGCTTTATTTCTATGCTTGTAGTTTAGATTTTATTTTCTTGTTAAATAGCCAAGAGGCTAGAACCCTCTTGCCTTAGATTTATTTAATGCTTATAGAGTAGATTTATTTTCGTGCATTTAATTCTTGCAATTTTATTTTATAGTTTAGATTTTGTAATTTATTTTGTAGTTAGATTTTAATTTCTTGCACTATTCACCTTGAGGCTAGAACCCTCTTGGGTTTAGTTTTTCTTCTTTTTTTTTTTTTTGTTTGATTCGCCTTTAGACTAGAACCTTCTAGGGAATCGCCCTTTTCTAAGAAGTGGGTTCAATTTTAGATTACCCATATCTATAATTGAATCCACCATCTTTAATTTTTTGTATTTTTTTTTTATTCTTGAATTTTATTTTCTTTATTCTTGATTTTTATTTTCTTTTTCCTTCTTGCCTTATTGATCATATTCATTCTTTGTCACATCCACTCTCACTTACACTTGTACCTATTCACACCATTTTCACTCTCTCAATCTCTTCACAATCACATTCACTTATCACTCCTACTTGTCACGCACACAACATAAGAACCGATTTCATATTTTCTCCTACAAAACACCTTCCTCGTGGGATCGATATCTTAAATACTATAACTTGACACGGTTGTGCACTTGCAACATTTTTGGTACATGTTTATGCCGCATCAGTCAATAACTTTAAAAATCACTAAATTTAACTGGAAAAATCAATTTGAACTCAGAAAGCGGTAGTGCGAATTGAGAAATCAAAATATCATGAGAAGAGATAGGTGGAGCAAACCCTAGAAAGCTCCCGTTAGCGAGATCTGGGCTCGATTTCTGGAGCAACGAGAGTAGCTCGACGATGAAACGAACAAGATGAAAACGGCGACGAAAGTAAATGGACTCCGGCGAGGACTGAAAACGACGACGAGACCAACGATAGTAGGTCGACGACGAGAATGACAACAAGCTCAAAGATGATATCGGAGAGGAGATTGGAGATGAGATCTAATATGAAAACAGCGACGAATTCAGTGATGAGATCGCCGATTATATGAAGATCTTGGCCACGACGATTTTAGGGAGCAGAATTTTTTGGCTCGCACTAGTACAAAGCAGGGCTGCCCCAACGGTTGAAACCGTTGGGGCAAATCATGACCCTAACGGTTAGAACCGTTGGGGCTGAAAAAAGGACCGTTGGGACAAATTACGTTGGGGCTGAGTCAGCCCCAACGGTTGCCAAGTTTGCCCCAACGGTTCCAACCGTTGGGGCAGTTAGGCAAATCAAATAAAAAAAAGATACCAATCATTGGGGCTGGGCACCTTTGTACTGGGGCTCCTTGACAGGCATAGCAATAATAACTCATTGTCAGGCCAATATAGTTGGTGTTAGGCCAAGCCTTTACATCTTAGCAGATACATGTAAATGTAAATCAACGATTGTCCTGACTTAGAACGCCGTGGTCCTAGTGAATATATTGTAAATAATACAAACTATGAAGATTTTCTTTAGAAGGTTTAAATACATACCAGTCGTGCTGAAATAAATCCCCTGTCAAGGATGAGAGGGACATAATTTGGACCACTTGTGGGAACAACATTAATAACCCAAACAGATTTTCCTGCATTTAACAGTGCAGCATAGAACCCGCCTAATCGAGCATTCATGTCAAGCACATTTCTGAGCATGTTAAAAGGTGGAGAGGGATCCTCATCACCAGGCCTCTTTGGATGATCCGAGAAAATCAGAGGTGAAAGAAGAGACCAATAGTTGCGAACAGCAGAGTTCCAATTTAATGCGTCCTCGGCTAAGTCCTTTGAGTGCAAATTTGATGAACGAAAAATAAAATTGTCAATCGGTGTAAAAAGAAATTACAGTTTAAACTATGATCATTTCAAATTACCATGAATTGCAAGTTCAGTTGAGTTTGGATTAACCCGAGAAAAGTCTGTCCACTTAGACCAAGAAACTATCATCTGCATCAGTCAGTTCAAATGTTATTTATTCAACTTCATAATGCAAGATCCAAGATAAGCATTTCCCAACAAAAAAATATGCTGGATCCACTGTTACATAAGAATTGTTAGTATCTTAATGAGCATGTCATGATCAAAGCAAATGATTTAGTATCCAATTCAGTGAGGCATATTCACATTATAAGCCTACTTCATTGAATCTAAACATTTGTCTTAAGCTGATGTAATCTCTCTTATTGACCAATATGGGATATGTTAATGGTGATATTTTTAATGCATAGCTTACCAATTCACATGTAGGTCCAACTATACCTATAAAGCAATCATGCCCTGTTTACATGCAAGCATACATATCATATCGAGTCAGTTCTATACATGAGCCTCTGCTACTAAATTTTATGTAGACACACTATTTTTCTATTTTGAGGTCTTTAATATCCCTTCCCAAGTTTTCCCACATAGTATATTTGTCCTCAACACCCTCCTTCCTGGCCTAAAATAGATTCAAGCCAAGTGTTTGTACCAAATCCTCATAATATTTTTGTGTTTGATCAAACAATTTGTAAAATGAATATGAAGGAGAAAACAAAATCATATCCAAAGCTCTAATTGACAGAGTAAATCATATCCAAAGCTCTAGTTGGCAGAGTTTTGGGTTTTAAAATTTATCTCCAACTGAATATATCTCAGCAATTAGAGGGAAAATGAAACTAATTACTGATGGAACAAATTATGTAATACTGAAAGGCAAGAAATATACATGTACCTTTCAATGTAGAGGACAAAAGGCAGCAGCGACGAAGGAGGAGGAGGAGGAGGAAGAGGAGCTCGAATCTACAAATGAAGGAGGAGGAGCTCGAATCAGAGGAGGAGCTCGAATTAGGGATTTTAGGGGAGGAGGAGGCGGCGAGAACTCCGACGACGGTCGAATCAGAGGAGGAGCTCGAATTAGGGATTTTAGGGGAGGAGGAGGCGGCGAGAACTCCGACGACGGCGATGATGAGAGGAGGGCGGCGCTTGTTTTGGCTCGATCGACGGTGATTTTAGGGAGCGGAATTTTTTGGCTCGGCGGCGATTTTAGGGATTTGAGAGAGAGACAGATTTCCTTTGAGCGGTGCGGTCAAACCATGGGCTTTACTAAAGCTCTCCAAAGGCCACTAACAATTATTAAGCTCAGAAACAATTATTAGACCTATGGTAACATTTTATATTAAATGTTGTATTAGACCCTGAAAATCGTTACGATAGATATCTAACACAACAGTTAAAACCGTTGCGCCTTAACCGTTGCAATAGATCAATTATGTGGTAGTGATGCTTTGAGGTCGGCTGGCAACTCCCTTGGCGACTCTTTTTTGGCGGCGGCCAGGAGGCGACCGGGCCTTTCTTCGGGACTCGGTCGTGGACATTAAAGATATACCGCCCTTTCTCCTCTTTTTTTTAGAACTATGGAGGACATATTGTAATGAAACTTTTTGAATAAAAGACCAAATTTTGCATTTATGCCTAAGCATTTGGCTCGAGTTTTGTAGTTTGATTAAATTAATTGCATAATGTCGATCCATATGTAGGAGACTACAATTAGTTTACTTTGAATGCTCTATGCTTGGCTGAGCAATCTGATCGACAACTTGTTTATTTTATGTCGATGGATTGTCATGCTTGTAGGAATCGTACCTTAGTGCGAGTGGTTGCAAGGCCCATTCGTGAGAAGGAAGAGTGGACATATAATTTTAATCCGAACTATTATAAAAATCTCGTGTGTTCCTGTATTGGTTGCTTTTAGTTTTTTCTTTTATTATTTTTCGCTGCATATTCTATGCTTATTCGAAATATTTGTACTAATTCTATTCACGGTATTCACCCCCTCTTGGCTTGCATCCCGTTTCCATCACAATGTTCTGCACGAACAATGTTCTAATAGATATAACTATTTGCTTAGCACGGGTTAAAATACTAGTTAATTGTAAACCTAGTAAAACTTTTTCGAAGATACTAAAATTAACTGAAAAGCTAAAAGACAAATCAAATTTGGGTTACGCCATTTCAGCCGGCCCATGCTTAGTGCCGCACGTCAAAAAGCATGTGCATTATTATGCATATGCAGCTCAAGGACAAAACAAAACGCACGCTTGGTCCGTAACATTTTTGAACTTTTCTTTGTCACGTATTGTTTATGCAAAGAAATACTTTAAGAAAAGGAGGGAAAATGTAAGAAAAAGAGGAGGAAAACAAACGGAAGAAAGTGGGGAAGAGACAAAGAAAAGGACGGTGATTGCATTAAATCTCTGGCTTCAAGGAAAGGCAACCTCAGCCTGAGCCAACGCTAGTTAAGAGTGGACGATGCCCTTTTAGATCCCACCTTTTAAAATATTAATATTTTCAATCTTTCATTATATATAATTTACTTTTTTGGGTTTTTTTTATTATTACTATTATTTTTTGGCATATGAACACATTTTTCCCCTCTATTTATTTTTAAACTCATGCACTTTTAAAATCACTCTTAAATTCAGGTATCGCTAGCAATCAAATACAACAATTTATAGCAAAACATATAGTAAAGCGATGAAATATATAATGGATTCTAAAAATGATTTAGTAGGGTATTATGACAATGGATTCATCTTATAGCAAATTAAACTTTTGACCCCGTAACGGCAAGAAAAGGTAATAGAGATTTGAATGCTATGCGGGTGGTGGGATGTTACTATGTTGGAGCAATCAACGGCAAAGCAAATAAAAGTATAATATGTATGACGAGAGATTTAGTAGGAGAAACAAATAAAAAAATTATTTTTAGCTTTTGGTTACTATAGCTACAGTACTCAGCCCCCTTCTCTTTTTCTTCTCTTTTTTCCCTCTTGGGTACAAGGATGCATGAATGCCTATTTAAAGGCTTTACAAAGTGTTCATAATAGAATTCTAGTATGACTATAGTTTTTAGAGATAACTCAAATCCTTTTAGAATTAGGATTAACTTTAACCTATTGTTCAAGAGTTTGTACTGGATTCACTTTTAAATAAAATGAGGGAATGAGAGGATAACAGGGATTCTGATTTGATTGATTATTTAATCAAATTCTACTGATTTCTTCCTTTTCAAAAGACACCCAATCATTGTACTCAATCGAAAGATATTTTGTTTTGACCTTAATAATGGGCCGGGAATGTTTTTGATGGCATGAAAAGAGTGATTAAGCTGATCAGATGGAGATATTTTCCTCCATTCTTGCAATGTAAATTTTTGGTATCTAGATTAAATCTCAATACTTCTAGTTAATTTACAAAATTGGCATACATGCTAACTCGAAAGTTGTTAAATCTTAGAGTTTAATTACTAGTTCTATCTCTTTTTTAATACATTACAATTATGAGCATTATTCACGAGGGTCTTCAGTTCTCAAAGTGTTTGAATAAAATGATATTCATATATATTAAGTTTAGTATTTATTGAGTACTCACCTTAGACATGTAGCATTCGCTCCAATATTCAGTGGAAACAAAAGAAATCTTTTCAAAGCGTCCCCGCTGTAAGAATTATACTTAGCTAATTAACCAAAAATAATTATTATATTTTAGCTTTTTCCTGCATAAAAAGGTAGTTTTTTAATAGGGGGAAAAAGGAATGTCTTGATCATATCAACTTGTGCTTGAGATGTTCATTATAATTAAGTACGGAGACATTGATAGATGGCCCTAACAACATAAATAATTACATTTAGGCCCTACAAACATAAATAATTACATAAGCACACGCATAACTAATTGTTGACCTAATACTTTTCTTATTAAATTAAAAGTTTGATTGATACACAACACACACGGCCACCGGCCCACCGATATCAAAACGTATATCACTTTCGCCCCACAAGCTTGCAGATTATAAGTGGCAGACATAATTCCTTTTCTTAAAAAAAAGTCAGGAAAATGATAATGTAATTATAATTGTTTTGATCTAAATAACGTTTGTTAAACATTGAAAGCTAAGATCATGCTTTGTTGTTCACAATTTACCCCCGCACTCCTCATTTTCGCCCGTATATATCCAAAAGGCACACATATATGCAACCCTAAATAGTATCTTTGTGGTTTTAATTCAGCTAAACTTTGTACTTTTGGATGTTATAAATGATATCTTATAGACATCAATATGTAATTTACTCCTTGAGGCTATATGTAGCTTATGTACAGAGGGAATTTGTGAAACCTAAAATACGAACCGATAACATCTGTTAGTGACTTTCCTCCTGTGAGAGAATTCACATGTATCTCATTATAGAGACCTAAGCTAAGTAAGAAATAAAATCACATTAAGCATTCATAAAATCACATTAAGCATTCACTATCTTGCCAAACCTTACAAGATTTGACAAGCAAATCGTGTTAACCTCAAATTGCGAACAAACATCTGAATACATGATAATTAACTTTGAATGAGTACTGCTACAGGGACCCCAAAATAGGGGACCCTGAATGGGACAGGTGAGGCGTCACCTGTCTCCCAAAATGAGTGCTGAACAGCAACAGTGCATCACGGGACAGAGAGACGATACCTCATATGTCTCACTCAGGGTCCCCTATTTTGGGATCCCTGAGACATTTTCCATTTTGAATACAAGCATCAACTATAATCAAGGCACACTCTTTACTGTAAAGTAGTACCTTTTGTTTTTGTTTTTATTTTTAATCCCCTTCTCCTCCTCAGCCACCACATTTTTTGCCTCGTTGAAATAACACAACGATAATCAACCAAATATTCCACGAAGAAATAAAGTGATCACGAAAGCTGCACGTAATCAATATCCCACAAGAGTACAATTTTATTTTGTGGGACATCAAAGAAAGCAACCTTGACTTGTCAACAACAATTCATCTCAGTGCATGGAATCTAGCACTCCAATTCCAATCGGAAACTACTGCTATCATCAAAGTCTAAAAGCCTAAAGGGCTATGAAAACCACCTCACGTAGATTATAGAGGTTGACCACCATTTCAACAAAAATCTTTGTCTCCTACTATTTTAGTATATATGGTGCTAGCTGCATAAGCAAATTATTCCTCAGATTATAAAGTATTCATCATCAGACAAGGCTGATATTTAGTCTATCTAAGACTTTGAATATCAAGGAAAAGATAAATCATTAAACTTGTTGACCAATTAAAATTGGAGAAAGAACGTTTGTGTGTGTCTAACTTCATCGACAGAAATATCATTTGCCAGCTGCTTTTAATTTACACGGTTGTTTCAGGATCAGTGATCTATCACATTCCTACGATGACAAATGTGTTTCTTTGATAACATTTAGATTTGTACGTAGCAGCAGCCCCAACAAAATTAGTTCCTCCTTAATTTCAAGTTAACAGTGACGGAT